CGTGCTTTCTTGTCTGGTAAACCATGGAAAATTATGTGGCTTGACATGTACCACCACCCCGCCACCACCTTTGTTGCGAGCCAATTATACGTGGCGTGGAATAAGTACCCATTGTTATTATCATTGTCGACTAAAATGTATTAAACATAGGGCATCCATTTACCTCCTCACTGATGCTCTTTACGATTAGAAAGTCGCGCGAGATGGTGAGGTGGACATGGACTCTGCGTTCTCATCCAGTTGACATTTACAGTTTGCACACTATCGACATCAGAAACAACACATGTAGCCCCATTGATAATGATTAACAGTGGGAGGCGCAGTTAAATCCTACAGGGTTTGTGGGCAGTCTGACAAATAAGTTCCACATTTTTGTACCTTATATGAATGCGCAGATTGAGATTCCTTAAAAAGAAACAAGAAGAGGTTACAACTTGACTGAAAATTTGACGCAGTAAACCTAACCAACTGAGTATTTTTACCTTATTAAAATGTCTGGCCTCAATGTTATTAAATCATAGGCATTATCCCGGCGCGAATTTAAAGCAGGCATGTACTGCAGACTTTAGTTGACAAAAGTAACTTATGTAGTCCCACCCATTAATCCCTACTTCCAGCAAGTTGTCCTACGAAAACGGTGTTTATAGGGTTTTTGGTGGCGAATTAGGATACGCAGGAAAATATACTTTAATAACTGCATTTTATTTTATTGTATTTGGAGGTTTGAAGCATTTGTTCCCCGGTACAAATTGGAAGCAGGCATAAACAGCAGGATTTATTGATAACAACAGATTTCGTGACAGCTTCTCAGCTGCTACTTTTCGCTGCATAAGAACATAGAGCAGTTGTGAAATTCACACCTGCTTTAGGTGTCGTCGTTATCTTTCTTATGCAGGGACAAGTAGCAGCTGAAAAGCTGTCGTGAAATTTGCTGATATCAATAAATCCTGCTGTTTATGCCTGCTTCCAATTTGTATTTGGAGGTGTTGCTGATTTATATCTGTAGAGTTTCCTAATCTACATTATCGTTTAACGTATTGCGGAAAAACCCGATAATCAAATTGCAGGTTTCTACAACTTACCGATCAGAAGTTAGATTAGTATAGCCCGCGGCGCTAAGCGCCGCGCACACCTTGAAATTACATGCGGACCAACATACTCCTAGCGGCTGTGGGAAACATGTTCGACTACATTTTTTCACTTCACTTACTTCTAAAAATTTCCTTTTCTGTCTTTTCTATTTCCCCACCCCCTGAAACCCTATAACCACCGTTTTCGTAGGACAAAATGCCGGGACTAGGGGTATATGAGTGGGACTACCTAAGCTAATTTTGCCCTTTATTTGAACCAAAAACATTTCGTGACTGCTCATCAGCCGCTGCCTTGTGGTTTTGTATCCGTTTTTTTTTCTGTACGAATTGTAATTGTTGTATTCTCTCTTTCTTTATTATGCAGCGACAGACAGCAGCTGCAGTACATGCATACCTTAAAATCAGTATAAGGACTTGAAATATATAACTTAGAATAAGGTATCGTCCACCATCAGTTAAAACAAATATGATTGACCAACATTAAAATGTTTTAAGCAATCCTGCTCTGCCCGTTCACAGCCTTAAGGTTTACTTGAACGGAAGAAGGTGATTTTCCCCGAAACTACTGCCGACAAGAAACGACTTCGGTTTTTTACATAAATGAAATGCCAAAAAATTACCTCGGGGCAATTTTCAGTTTTATCATTTAGAGGAATGCGGGTGTTAGACAGCCTATTAGCGAAACGAAAGATGGAGATGGCAGAAAAGTTGGAGAGACAATTCGTGTTACAGGCCCCACATACCATAACTGGATGGGCACAAAACCTTACCAAACAAGGCAACCATGTAGAACAACAGAAATAGTGTGAAAATCGAAAGACATGGCACCACTGATGTCAACTAGTCCATGTTGGGGTACCAAAGGTGAGGGCAATGGAGAAAGCGCAAGAATATCCTCCAAATAACTCATTGGCATAGAAAATAAAAAATAGTAAAGCATATTGTCCATAATCGGAGGCGATGCGTTGGAAGTCTGGTGAGGAACCACGTTAAGAGGTTTCAATGATAATATCACTAGTGAGAAGAAGACTCGATTGCTGGGACAATATGTTTATTCGCCTGACGTTTCGAT